AAGACTGGTAGACTGCACATGGACCTGTACATATTGTACTGTTTCTGCTGCTTTCTGCTCATAGCACACTAGCTTGTCTCCCGGTCCTCAGTTCCACTGCTATTCAGTGCCATGGAGACAGATTCTCAAGAGGAGGGGGTATCTGACAAAATGGCAACACTACTGGCAAAGCGCATACGACTGGTTGAGCAGTTTCAGGCCACAGACGTGTACTTTCGCTCCAAGGTGCTCCTCATGCACTGTGACTCACAGTCGACTCCACCAGGGGACCCACCAGTGACACCGAGGATGGAGTTTTCAAAGAGAAGGTGGGAAAAGATGTGGTATGTCTACAAAACCAGGTCCCGCCTCTATGCAGAGTGGCTGAACTAATTCAGTCTGGCAGGCCTTCAGTCTTACAGTCCACAGTCCTGCATTCCTACAGTCCCACAATCCTACAGCAACAACAGGTTGTGAACTGTGGACTACATGACTGGCTGAAGACTGTTGTTCGAAATTATTTTGCACTGACAAACAACAACCAGGGAAGCCTGATGTGATGAAAAGACCTCTTTTAACAAACAGTCTCATCGTCGTCGTGTCGTAAAGGCCCCCCTCTCGTGTAGGCTCGTAATAATGTAACAAACGGTCACACAGTCCTACAGGCCTTGGGGTTCCAGGTTCCTCGTACAGTCACACAGTCCTACAGGCCTTGGGGTTCCAGGTTCCTCGTACAGTCACACAGTCCTACAGTCCTACAGCCTGGGGGTTCCAGGTTCCTCGTGTCGTCAGTGTAGCCGTCGTTTTCGTCGTCGTCGTCGTGTCGTAAGGCCCCCTCTCGTGTAGGCTCGTAATAATGTAATGTAACAAAAAGTCACACAGTCCTACAGGCCTTGTAGTGGGAGATATAGGCCTTGAAGTTCTCAAAGAAAAAACAAGGGATGTTGGTTGCAAAGGCTGGAAGGAATAGCTCATAATCTCTCCAAGTCGGTATCCTAGTTACCCTGGCCTGATATCCTAGTTGTCTTGCCGACTCCTTTAAAGCTTTAGGATTTAGCGCTAAACCCTATTCCCAAACACTAAAGCTTTAGGATTTAGGAACCAGAATGGGGGAAACCCCAAGATCGGCTTCGAGCCTAATTAAAAGGCACTTTTTATGAACAGAATTTATCACTCCAAAATCTGCTTCCGATTTTCCAGAAATCAGCCGCCAAACCCTATTCCTAAACACTAAAGCTTTAGGATTTAGCGCTAAACCCTATTCCTAAACACTAAAGCTTTAGGATTTAGCGCTAAACCCTATTCCTAAACACTAAAGCTTTAGGATTTTCCTAAACACTAAAGCTTTAGGATTTAGTGCCAAACCCTATTCCTAAACACTAAAGCTTTAGGATTTAGCGCTACACCTATTCCTAAACAGTAAAGCTTTAGGATTTAGCGCCAAACCCTATTCCTAAACACTAAAGCTTTAGGATTTAGCGCTGAACCCTATTCCTTAACACTAAATAAAGCTTTAGGATTTAGCGCTAAACCCTATTCCTAAACACTAAAGCTTTTCATTGCCAAAAATGCTCCTAAACACTAACTCTTTAGGATTTAAGCCCTAAACCCTATTCCTAAACACTAAAGCTTTAGGATTTAGGAGTACAGGTTTTTGAGGGGGCACAGGGTTTAGGGTATTATACTGGGAAGAACCGTGGCTTTGTAAGTGTTTATATAGATTGCAAGCATGTTGTTAAATAGCTTGCAACCCGGTTGTATCTATATTGAAAATACAAGAAACACACCGAGTGCTTTAGGTGCCTTAGGTGCGAACTCAACAAGAAGACGCTTGCGCCTTTGGCTCAAGGGCTAAAAGAAGGGAAAGTCTGCTGAATCGCGCTCTTGCGCGGTTATCAGCCGTAGGCTCCTAGAAGGGTAGACTTGTGCCAAGCAGCAGCCGCCGCCGCGGCTGCATGTCCGGAGCAGGTGGTCGGGAAAGGCTTGATCCTAGTGGAGAGCCCTTTACAGTTACTCGTAGGGGTGGTCGCAAGCAACGTAGAGCTGACCAGAGGGCTTTGGACACCCAGGCAGGTCTTTATCAGCCTGAGCAATCTTGGTCTGAGGCTAAAAGAGAAGCGTTTGAGCGACTTCAGATTCTTGCGAGTAGGCGTCGGGAGCTAGCGGATCTTGAGAGGAAAGCTAGGAGGGATTTTGAGGAAGCAGGTTCGGAGCCAGTTCCACCTTCAGGGTCTCACCCGTTGGCAAGCGCGTCGCGCGGCAGCGGAGTAGGTGACTACGTTGAGGTGGCGGTAGACGAAGGAGTAGAGCCGGAAGAACCGAAGGGAGTGTTTTCGGAAGCTGCGGTTTCGGGTGCGTCTTCAGGGGTTTATTCAGAGGCCTCAGCAGTTCCAGTAGCCAAGCCTTCTTCAAGAAGCCGAACGCCTCAAAGGACTCCAAGGCCAACCTCTTTGTTTCCTGCCCAGGTAGGACCTGAGCCTGAGATTCCTGAGCCCGAGGTTCCCCAGCCTGTGGTTCCCAAGTCCAAGTACGTGGTAGCTAAGTCGGCTCGTAAGAAGAGGCCGGAGGCGACGAAGCCCGAAGAAGGTTCAACGGCTCCGTCCCCAAAGCGTCCCAGGTCTCAGGAAGCAGCTCCAAAGGTTACCCCCAAAGAGCCAGAAGCATCACGTCCCAAATCTTTGGAACCGTCGACCATTACTACCTCTACCGGTTCGGTCGTTGCTGCACCCCGTCCCAAGAAGAAGCCTCTATCCGTTCCCATCCTGCCCGAAGCTGCGGAGAGCGGAGAGCTTCAGTTGAGACCGGAAGAAGGGTCTTTGGCGGACCCCAAGGCCAGTCCGCTGAAGAAGAAGAGTCGCAGGGCTAGGTCGGGCGAGGCTTCGGAAGGCGGTGAGGTGAGAGAGGTTGAGGGTTCGCTTCGGCCAGCGGAGCCTGAGGGGCTGCCAAGGAACCTTCAAGCTTATCCTAGGACCATTAGGATTGTGTGTGATTTTCACGGAGTCCTCGACCTGGATACGGAGCAGACTGACTTGTACGGTAGGAAATCCTTCTGGCAGCAAGGTGGCAGTATCTACCCTGAAGCCCGCAGAACCTTCCAAGAGTTCCTCCGAGCCAACCCCCAAGCCGAGCTTCACGTTCTGAGCTTTGTAGGGTCCAGCTCCACTGCAAAGCAAAACGCAGTCGTAGTGGCGGTACAGGCACTAGCACGCACACTGCGTACCAATCAAGTGAACAACCGCATCAGCGTGTGCATTTGCTTCGACCGTTCCCACAAAGCTTACATCGCCAAGTCCTTGGAACCAGCCGTGGTGATTGACGACTCGTACCAAATCATCGAAAACTATCTTGCTGAAGAGTCGTCGCATCGGTACCTTTGGTTCGACAAGCTGTATTCGAAACGCCCCCGCGAAAGGTATCCCAGAGGACTTGAGCAAGTTAAGTCTTGGAGCCAGGTTCAGGAAGTTCTGCGCGAGTTAGGTCCAAGTCCCACGCCTCGCGCGTGGCGTGAGCTTCTTCCTGCGCTGGAGGGACGCACCCCTCCTCCGTCCGGCCTTCGAGGCCGCGGCAGACGATGAGCTCCTCGGAGGAGATATCGTTGGAACTTAGTTCAGCTTCGATTGTGGAAGGTTTGGTGGGAAAAGCCGCAACTTCTTCAGCTTCAGGAAGTTCGTCCAGTGGTGTTGCTGGGGTAAGAAAAGAGGTCAAGCCAAAACGCACCTTCTCTAGGGAGTTGGCTGCGCGTCGCGCAGCAACTTCCGAAGGAGGGTCTAGGCAGCCGATTTCAATGGAGGTTTCTGCTTCAGAGGATGCTTTGGTTCTTCCGCAGGGTGAGCCTAGAGTCCTGGGCCCCAACACAGAGGATGCACAATCATCGCAAGCAGTCACCATGTCCTTCTATCGGCAGGGTGACCACACCCAACGCAGCAACACACACCACCTAGAACAACATGATGAAAGGAGCGTGGAAATTCATCAGCAGATTCTCAATCGGGTGGATCAGAGGCAGGTGCATGTACACCAAACCACGGACCAGCAAGTTGTGCTAGAAGCAGCTAGGCATGTGGTAGCGGCCAACCAAAGGGTTCATGACACGGAAGCTCAAGCCCTCCAAGCAGTAGTTCAAGCCAGAGGCGAGGCACAGGCTTTGGTCGAACAGACTAGATCTCAAGCCGAGGTGCTTTCAGTTAGGTTTGCTGCGGAATTGGAGCTAGCACAGCAAAGGGAGCAGCGTTTGTTGGAAAACATTGAAGCCCTTAGGAATGAACTGGAAAGGCGAAGTGCCCCAAGCACCTCAGCCCATACACCTAACATTCCAAGGTCCAGCCTCAGGGAAACCACCACAGCCCAAACACCCCCAAATGGCGCGGGGATTTCGTTCGAACAAGAAGCTCTCACAGCCATCACCGGTAGGCTTAGCAGATTGGAGAACGAGTTTCATGATCGACAGGCTAAGTTGGAAGAGGAGTTTTGTGCCCTGAGGGACATCGTACAGGAAATGTGGATCAACCAAGAATCCTGGAATGAATGGTCTCCCCCGGAAGCACCTTCTCAAACAGCCGGAACACCCCAAAACGCCCAATCGTCGTCGCCCGCGCGTGTGCATCGATTGGATACCAATTCCAGTGATGAGGGTGTTGAAGCTCCTTCTGCCGGTGTTGAGTCGGTGCACGAAGAGGATTTAGAAGTGGCACATGTTAAGCAAAAAGATTTGCATCACATGAAATTTCCTTCGTTGCCCGACAACGCTGGAGCGTTCAGAGCGTGGAGGAATTCGATTGTGCCAATGGTCTCATCATTCGACCGCTCCTCAAACGGAGAGGTGACAGATTGGGTCCTAAAGGCGGTTCGCGCCCGTTCGGACTCAGAGATCCGTGCACTTTACGATTCTTCTGATCCTTATCCTCGTTTGGATCGTGTGTTGGCGAGTGCTCTGACAAAGCCTGAACACTTGAAGTCGCATTTTGGTCTCAAGTTTCAGTCGTATATCGAAGAGTGCGAAGCGTCGTCACGGCCCTTGCGTGGCCGAGTGTTGTTGAACTTTGTTGTGCGTGAGTTTGATCCGGATTCCACGTATGGCACGGTTGTCTCAGAGCTTGAGTTGTTTTCGATGCCGGCGCCTGAGGGTTCCATGCAGTCCTTGAAGGCGTGGAGAGACAAGGCATTGTACATCCTTAGCCAGTTGCCGACCTCAGAGAGACCGTCAGAGAAGTTGCTTTCGAAGTGGCTTTTCGAGAGGCTTAAGAAGGTTGGTTTGCTTCGGAGACACACTGACAAGATCAGAGACGCGGCTGAGGGAGCACCAGAGAGGAGTTTTGATTGGTTGTGGTCAAGACTCGAGCGCACGATCTTAGAAGGAAAGCAGGAGCAGAACATGATCTCGATTCAGGAGGCGTTGAGGAAAGGACCCAAGAAGGAAACCCCAGGAGTCCCTGCCCCCACCGACAAGAACAAGGATAAAGGAAAGAATGGGAAAACCGGTGAGGGTAAAGGCGGACAGTCCAAAGGCAAGGGAGGAAAGGGTTCAGGGACCCCCAACGACAACAAAAATAAGGATCAAAAGGACAAGGCAGGAAAGGACAAAGGAAAAGGGAAGAAATCGGACCCTTTGTTCGAAAAGGCTAAGGAAGAAGGTGTATGCATCTTTTTCCAGAAGGACAGATGCACTCGTGGAGACAACTGCCCTTTCAAGCACGAGAAGATCGCTGTTTCAGGCGCCCCGGCTCCACAGGCAAAGGCGAAAGCTGCCGCGGCAAAGGCCACACCCAAAGCCGCCGCAGTGGCTTTGGTAGTTGCCGCCTTGGCCTCAGGCGCGACTGCCTCTGTAGCCGATGCCGGTCCGTGTTGCACTTTAGATGTGATTGGAGACACAGGAGCAGGGGAACATTTGGGTTCCAAAGAAGCTTTCGTGAATCAGGGTGTGTCTTCTAGCGTCGTAGACCAGTTCTGCGGTACTTCTTCCAGCCACATCGCCTTTGAAACAGGCGGTGGAAAGAAACAATCGAATGAATCGATTGGGGTTTGGACTGAGTCTCTCAAGAAAGTGGCGAACATGTTCATGTTGAAGTCATGCCCACTGGTCTTTTCCATCGGCCAATTTGTTATGAATCAGGGTTACAGCTTCTTTTGGCCAAGTGGGGAGCTTCCATACTTGATTCCACCAGAAGTTGAATACAAGATGGAAGTTGACATTGATGAGTGTAGGTTAGCCGACCGGGTTGATCATTGCGTGCCCATCTTCAAGGAGAGGGTAGAGCTCATCTCTGGCATGCCTGCTGGACTTCTTGTTCCGTTGATTCCTCCAGGATACATTGTTTCTGCTTCAGAGAGACTTGGGTGGAGTAGGTTCGGAGGTAGCCTGCTTCATGCCATGAAGAATCCCAAAACGTTTCAGGTCACCGAGGAAACAGCCCCAGTTCTGCGTACCACGTGGCTGCACACGACAGCTGGTCAGTGGTTTGAGGTGGAACGCCAGGCACGGTGGCAAGATCTCGAAGTTCAAGAGGCGCCGCTGCCTTTTGCCGCGGACCTCATCGTTACAGAGTTTTTCAGAGAGCCAATGTCAGAACGCTCTGGCGAGACTACTGCGTCCAGGGAGTCAGCGCGACGCGCGGTCTCAAAGGATGCAGTAGCCCCAAGCAGCAAGGATCTCGAGAAGGTCGGAAGCAAAGCTTCGAAGGACGATGAGAATTCAGAAGAGGAGTGGGTTGAAGAACTTGAGCCCAACCATTTCCTCACGCACTACCCTAAATCTAGGAAGTGCAACATTTGTTTGCAAGCTAAGCTTATGGGTCATTACCATCGCAGGCGCTCCAACCAAAGCTTGAGTCTTCAGGAAGCTCGCAACAAAGAGGAACCTGAGGAGCCGTGTCAGCGAATCGCTGTAGATCACATGTTTTCCTATGATCAGCCTGCTGATGGTGATGAGGTTGTGTCTTTTGTGTGCAGGGATCGGTATTCCGGCATGGTTTGGACCTATCCTGCCGAAACTAAGGAAAGCGAAGAGGTTGAGAATTCGCTGCGACACTTCTGTGGTAGGAAATCTCCCATTGTGAGTGTTGCTTCGGACTGTGCACCAGAAATTTTGAAGGCGATTCGGGACTTGGGTTTCAATTCGGAACCTAGTGTTCCAGGTGATCGACTTCACAACCCATTCGCAGAATCTACAATTCGAACCTTGAAACAGGGTACCAGGGCTCTGCTGCTTCAGTCGGGTCTTGGGGAGCGCTGCTGGAAGTATGCACAAAGATGCTTTGCTTTCCATTGCAACGTGTCTCTCGAACCTCCTAAGGTCATACAGGATTTGGCTAAGGAGAAGGGAGTCGAGTGTGCGGGTACCAGGTACGAAGCTCATCTGGGTTATCCGTACGAGGGTTACTTGATACCCTTTGGTGCGTTGGTGTGGTATAAGAACAAAGATGCCGCAACCTTCGCCCCGAGAGGCGAAGCCTCGATTTACATGGGTCCCACAGTCATTGACGGTTTGCGTCACAAAGGTGTTCACCTCGTTGCACCGTTGTCGTCTGTCCGAGAAGGCGATTTCGGCGTTGTTGCAACGAAAGAGATCGCGGTGCCAAACGGCAGATGGTCTTTCCCATTGGCAAAAGCCAAAAAGCTAGATGAGGATAATCCTCACCACAAGCTGCCGCCGATTGAAGCTTTCACGGCACCGCCCGCGGAGCCTGCTGAAGCGGTGGTTGAAACCAGAAGGGAAGGAGCGGAGACGTCTGCTCCAGTGGTGAAACGTCACAGGGCCATCACCAAGTTGCGCATTGCGATTCACGGCAAAAGTCCGAAGTGTGATGGTTGCAAGAACGGGTCTTACAATCACTCACCTGCGTGTCGAGAGCGTTTTGATGCGTTGCTTGATTTTCACGAGCCTCTGGCAAAGGCAGAGGAAGTCCAAAGGGCTGAAGATGAAGAAACAGAAGCGGACTTTCGCCCACCAGTGGAGTCGGAGCCTCCTGCGTTCACAGGTCCGAGTTCAGGGGGGCCTGAAGAGATCGCTTCGGGCTTGACAGCTTGTGTTGACTTGCTCCTTTCTGCAGAGTGCGGTACAGTCGACGAAGTTCTTGCTCAAAAGTTGTTTTCAGAGTTGCCGCAAGAAGCTACCTTTGCACTTCCGGCGACCACTCGTCGCGAACTTCAAAAGGAGTCGGTTGGCGTTTGTTTCGGGGAGTTCTGCTGCTCGCCGGACAGCCAACTAAGGCGAGTTGCCAAGGAGTTCGAGATAGAATATCTGGGCCTTAGCAGAGACTTTGTCGATCTGACGGATCCGGAACAAGTCGCTCAGATAGAACTGTGGATGACGGAACAGGCTGTCAATCACAAGGTGTTGCACATCTTGGGGTCGTTGCCGACACTAGACGGACACAAAAGAAACGCGAAGAATTCGGAAACCTTGTTGATTAGGCACTTCGTGAAGTTGGCGGAAATCGCTTCTTGCTCTGGCGGTACCGTTACTTTCGAGTGGCCTCGTCGATACGAGGGTTGGAAGGACCTGTTGGTGTTGGACATGATCGCTCGATTCGAACTACAGGTGAGCTTCCCCACCGGTTGTGGCTTCAAGCTTTCTGTTGAAGGTAAAACACCGTTGATGGCTTGGCGTGTCGTCAGCTCGAGCTCGAGACTTACAGTTGAGTTTGGAAGAAGGTCGTGTCGGTGCGCTTTTCCGCATCAAGAGCTTGACGACCACATGGCCTTCAAGGCAAGGTTTTACAACAGAGCCATGGCGACGGTGATTCTAGGGGCCTTGTTTCCCGAGGTGGTTCACGATCACGTCCCTGCGCTTCCTGTTGTTGCCTTGCAGTCTGGTCCTTCTGAGCACAGGGAGAGAGAAGTTCCCGGTGCTCCAGGTTTGGAAGAGGCTTTCGGTCTGGTGACTAAATCCTTGTCTCGCAAGGAAATGTTGGCCTCACCGGATGCTTTGCAAGCCATCAAGAAAGAGGGTGAAAAGCTGCGTCTTAAGGACACATGGGACGATAGCACGGCGATAGACCCAGACACTCTTTGTCAAGAGGCCAGGAAGACAGGGGCCAGACTGCATGTCGCTGAAGCTATGACCATCGCTGGAATCAAGAACTTTGAGCTTCCTCCTGAGAAGCATGTTCACAAAGGACGCGTTGTGTACCGTGGTGACGCGGTGCGAGACGAGCGCGGAGCTCCAGCGCTGTTTCAGGCGTTGCATTCGTTGCCCACAAACATTCAAGCAATTAACTTGACTCTTTTCCTGGGCCTGTTGTCAGGGTTTGTCGTTCAAGCCGCAGACGCGTGCCAAGCCTTTTTACAGGCACCTCTGAGGTCGTCAATCCCGACTTGGGTTATCTTGCCTCAAGAATTGTGGATTCCCCAGTGGAAGGGGAAGTTCAAGCGGGTAGCTGTTCGTCTTCGCAAAGCGTTGTATGGGCATCCAGATGCTCCCGCGTACTGGCAAGTGCACTTGGAAGGTATCTTGACGTCGTTGCTTGCTGCCACGGTGGTTGAGGGCTTCCCGTCAGTCTTTTGGATCCCTACGCTGTGTGTCTTAGTGACGATATACGTTGACGACATTTTGGCTGCCGGTCGCCCTCAAGCCCTCAAGGAATTTTGGGCACAACTTTCAAAGCACATCGAAATTGAAGCGCCGAGCGATGTCGATAGGTTCCTGGGTCGATACCACAAGTTTGTCGATTCTTCTACGGTCTTCCTCCATATGGAGGAATACGCCAAGCAAGCCATCGAGCTCTACACGTCGCTTCCTGGTGCTAAACCACTGAAGGGTGCAGACTCACCGTATGTGGCGGAGGGGTCGCTTCCTCTTGAAGATTGGCAAGTGAAGGGGGAACTTTCCCAGCATTCTGCCAAAATCCTTATGAAACTTCTGTGGTACTCTCGCTTGTGCAGACCAGATCTAGCGCACGCCATCTCTTCCCTTGCAGCCCAGTCAACCACCTGGTCCAAGAATGCAGACAAGCAAGTACATCGGCTGATGTGCTTCGTGATGCAAACCATGGACGTTGGGCTCAGGGGGGTGGTGAAGGATCCCTTAAAGGATTGCGTGTTGGATCTCTTCGTGGACGCTGATCTGGCTGGTTGTCCCCACACAGCCAAGTCGACATCGGGACTTTGGCTTCAAATAAGCGGACCGAATGGGACTCAATTCCCAATTGCGTGGTCAAGTCGACGCCAAGGGGCGGTTTCCCGCTCCACCACGGAGGCAGAGATGATCTCGCTTGCGGAGGGTCTGTTTGTTGAAGCGTTGCCGGTTCAAGACCTGTTGTCAAAAGTTGCCGAGCATGTTGTCCCACTGGTGATTCACGAAGACAACGAGGCGGTGATCAAGCTGATAGAAGCAGGGTATTCGGTGAAATTACGAGGTTTGCTCCGGACGCATAAGCTGTCCATCGCTTCGGTGTCTGACTTCATAAAAACCCACAAGAACGAAGTTCTCCTTAGGTACACAAACACTAAAGAGCAACTAGCAGACCTCTTCACTAAGGCCCTCGCGAGGCTTCCTTTTCAGGACCTCTCGCGACGGCTCGGCCTTGCTAAGGTTCCTCCCTCCTGAAGTTCTACAAGTGGGAAAGGGGTTGAGTAGTCTGCGAGACTCGCAGGTGCTCTTCCTCACCCCGCTCTTCCAACTCAGGTTTCGCCGCCGCCAGGCCAAGCTGCGCCGCCGCGCCGCCGCGCAGCCGCAGCCCCGCCTCAGCTGACCAGTGCCTGCGGAACTGAGCTTCTTTAGCGTCAGGGCTAGGCCAGTAACTGGGTCTCTTCTTTTGAGAAGGCCACCTTTTTCAGAGTGCGCCTGTTTTTCTCCAGTGCAAGGGCAGAGGATTAATAGATCTTCTGCATGTAACCTCTTGAATCTTCGGTGTGGTGAGTTCCCCAGAGTTTCTGAGAGAGCAGATCCTCCTCCTGGGCCGGGGGAGGAGGTGTCGGCTCGGCTCCGTCTTCTTGGTTCGTCCGAGGGGGGACAAGAAACACACCGAGTGCTTTAGGTGCCTTAGGTGCGAACTCAACAAGAAGACGCTTGCGCCTTTGGCTCAAGGGCTAAAAGAAGGGAAAGTCTGCTGAATCGCGCTCTTGCGCAAAATCACTTATAAGTGTGATAAACAAGTACAACTGTTAAGAGACTTAGCTAAGTGTTTACATAAGTGGTGTAAGTATGTTAAACATTTACAAAGGTTAGGGGGTTTAGCTAAAGTTTAGCTAAGTTAACATATATCTTTTTGAAGTACAGTTCTTATATAGGAAATGACTATGTTAGGCACGTAAATGACTTGTGTTTCAAGGGTGTTTCGTGTATACAGGGGGGGGCAGGGCGGACAAGAAATGCATATCCTGTTGCCATGCAGCCGTTTTTTTTCAAGAGAACTTGCAAAAGATGAAGCCTGCCTGGGCTACGGCCGTGGAGCAGGCATTGAAGAAAGATGCTCCGGCATTGGGGAGATGGACGGAGATCGAAACTATCCTGCAGGAGAGCAGGAAGTGCTACAGGCAGGTGCTGCGGCCGGGTCAAGTCCTGGTGCACCCGTCGAATCGCTCAGGGTTAGGATTGAATGGAGCCCAAGTTCACAAGACAGGGGCCCAAGTGCAACCTGTAGGCTTCAGCTCCATGGAGCTGAAGCGAAGTGTTTGCATGGAAATATCCACGGATAGAGCTCTGAGCCAAAAAGGCCTTTAGTTTCAACAAGCGGCAAGTGGATATGAATGGAGGGCTGCTAGCTGAGGTGCGAGGCGATGAGCGATACATGTCGTTAGCATGCAGTCACTTTACGGCATTTTGCCGTGCCTGCATTGCAGCATGTCCCTCGGACCAAGAGACGGTGTCGGACAACGGCAAGCTCACGTTGCAGCGATTGTCTACGGACTTTCGGCAGGCCGTGGATAATGGATGGGAGTGGCTGGTGCTGTCAGCGGAAGTTGATGCAGTACTGCCCTCGCTGGCCTCCTTCGTTCAGGAAGTCATGAATGCAGCCCAAGGAGTTGCAAGAACGGCAGGCGAGCTGGAGCTCGCCATGGCGATGGTGACCCGAGCAAAGTTGCTGGCAGAGCAAGGTTTGTGCATCGACTGGGATGTTGTGCAAGCTGATGTAGCAGCCACGGTGCCGGATGCCTCGCCACAGACCGTGGCCGCTTGCGGGTTGTTCTGCAGATTCTATGCAGGAGGAACCGAAGCACCTCTGCTGAAGTTTTTGCACGACTTTTCCTTGAAATATGGGGCAAGCAAAAGATTGGGAGAGGAATTCATGTCCACGGTCGCCGGCCTCCGGTTTGCAGGGCAGGAGCGATCGCATGCTTTCGCAAGGGCTGCGATGATCGCGACGAACCTGACAGCCACAAAAGTGGTAGACGGTGTGGCTCGGCTGCTGAGCAAGAGCGATGTCAGCAGGCTCTGTGCGAAAGGCATGGAAGATGCTGTAAAGGATTGGGAGGAGCTTCTTGCTCGTGCCTGGGCTCACACTCAGAATGTGACGGAGGCAAGTGCACGTGCCAAGGCAGTTGAGTGCTTCGGTCGCCTGATGGTTCGCAGCACCCTCTTCATGTGCAAGAAAGAGAAGTCGGGGCAAGAAGGCCTTGAGCACGGGTCATTGGCCAATTTGCTGACTTTGTACGAACACGAGATGGGTGGCAAGAGTGCCGGTGCAACACCGGCTGCTGCTACAAAAGATGGGCCGTCTGATGCGGCCCCTGCGACCTTGGAGAACATGCAGGACCCGGCCTTCCTGATGAAGCTGCAAGGCTTCGCAGAGGGGAACCTGTACAAAGGCAAGCAGAAGTATCAGGACATCTGGCCTTGGAAGCTGGAGAAAATCGGCCAGAGCCACGGCTCTTTCTCGCTGTCTTGCCCAGTGAGCTGGGACAAGAAGGTCGAGGTGCCTCTGAGCGAGCTCAAGAAATTTTTCGAGCTGTATAGCGGAGATGCACCCGAAGTAGTGTGTGACTCTGTGGACCGACTGCCCCATAATACGGAGGCTTGCAGCCAAGAGAGACTCCGAGGAGAGTTCTTCGAGCTCTGTTGCGAGTATTTCCTGAAGTACTCGCAGTGTGAAGAGGAGTTGACTTGACTTTTTTGAAGAGTCCCACGTGCTGTCTGTTGGAGGGCAAAGTCAAGACAGGCAAGCTGACGATCTTCCCCTTCACGGATCAGATTTCAAAGGTTGGCTTAAAGCCGGCAGCTGGCAGTGTGGAGGTTTGGCATTCGGCCTCGGGCACAAGCTTGTATATTTCACCCCCGGCTGCAGCCGCAAGTTTGCTATCTGCCTTCTGGCAGATCCCGGTCGGCTCAGAGCCGAATCTGACGACAGTCCTTCTGAACGAGAAGGGCTGGAAGATTCCCATTTTGAAGAACACTGCTCCGCTGAAGGAGTGCATCCTGTACAGGCCGAAACCTGCCGAAAGTTTGAGGGCCTCGGCCCAAGAGCTGGATCAAGGATCCGGAGCCACTGCCTCGCGAAAGCGAAAGGTTTCTTGAGTCACTCGACAGTTCTCGCTTGCTGAGTTTTCCGGGAAAAGGAGCCATGATGTCTGCAATGGAACTTTTTGGCGCTTTTTGCAAGTGTGAATTCAAGGATGGTTTGCAGGCACGTGTTGTTGATCTTTCCATAAAGTTCGGCTCAAGCCTAATGCCGCTGGTAATCGAAAGAAAATATGTCCTGAAGCTGGATGGTGCCAGCTGGACTCTGGGTGACAAGGAGCTAGAAGCAACGGACCATGGTCCGTTTGTGGTACTTCGTCCATGGAGCCCGGGCTTGTGCAAGCTGCTTTCTAAGCAGCATAGCATAAAACTGCCAAAATACCCGGCAAATTCATCGTTGTCCCAGAGCGATGTTTATCTATCGCTCGTGGGCTCCCGAAACGATGCCTCCAAGGAGCAGCAGTCCAAGCGGCAGGCAGAGAAACTGAAAGAACAGAGCTCTGGCCTTTTCGGCGGGGAAGACAGCGAGGCTGCTCTAGTGTCTGTAACAGGCAGCTCTCCGAGAAAAGCAGCGAGGACTCGCTTGTCCCGCCGTGCTTCCAGGGAAGCAAGAGCAGAAAAGAATGTGCTCAAGGTTGCCTGGATGGAAAAGGAGATCCGTGTCCTGGAGGCGGGCCATGTCACGGATGTGCCCGAAGTCCACTTGGATGATATGGCACTGTTCTTTGAAGCAACACAAAATGCCGTGCTTACTGCTGAGTCTTTTCAGACTAGAGCACGGCAACAGGCGACGACAGAAGGTATTCGCTTGTCAAAAAAGCCAGGGCCAAGGCCCGGCTGTTGGATCCCCTGCCGCTGCAGGAGGCTGAGGCGACTGCGGCTGCCAAAAGGGCAGCAAAAAGCCAGGGGCAGTCCTCCAAACGGAGGAAGCCTGGGGTGCTAGTGAACTGAAGGTTCGTTTGCTTCAGGAAAACCATGCAAAGCCTTGTTGTCTCATGTGCATGCAGTTGTTTGACTTGTAGCCTCGCATGTGCAGGTTGTGAAGTTTGTGCCGGTGTTGGCAGCTGTTTGGGCTCCTGTAGGGAGCCCTTGGATGCGGGCTGGCCTTTTTTACGAGGCCAGGCAAGGGATCCTTTTAAGTTTCTTTCAAACGAAACATATAACTATAACTGCATGTGTAATATATAGTGGCAGCCCGGGAGACTGCGGTTTCCTGGACAAAGCCGGGAGACTACGGTTTCCTTATAATTGTGGTGGACCACGGTTTGCCATCTGTCTGTGAGAGGAGACCACGGTCTCCTGCAGAGCTGGCTAGCAGACTACGGTTTGCTTAGTCAGTGATGCATGCATGTGTTGCTTTTCGGCAACCGTGCTGGCCGGCAGAATGCAGGCAGACCAAGGTTTGTTTGCATCTGCTGGCAAGCATGCAAAGCAAGCAGACCACGGTTTGCTTTGCTTTGGGAGAGGAGACCACGGTTTCCTTGTGGGTGCATGCCACGGCATGCACCAAATACTATGTATATATATATATATATATATATACATGTGCTAAAAAGAGTCTGGCTTCAGGGATCTTCCTTAAACCCTATACCCTCCCCGATCCTCTAAACCCTTTTTTTGTCCTGGCCAGGCGAAGTCGTCGGCCATGCCCAAGCAGCGGGACCAGGATAGAAGGAGGAGGAGCTCGAGCTCAGAGGATAGAGAAGAACGACGAGATCCTCGACCACGGTCGAGATCTCACGAAGAGTCCGAGGACCAAAAGAAAAAGGAGGAGGATGGCAACAAAAAGCCAGAGGAGAACGAGAAGAAGAAAGAGGAGGAGGAGAACTTTGAGGAGGAAACTGAGGCCTCCGAGGAGGCAACTGAGTCCGAGGACAAAGAAAAGGATCCGGAGGAGGAGCCGGAGGAGGCTACGGCCTCGAAGCCAAAGGAGGCGGCCTCGGAGGCTGCGGCCTCGAAGCCCAGAGTCCCTTCTCTGGATGAGAAGACCGCTCCTGAGTGGCCGATAAGTGCCGCCGGCAGGCAGAGGCTGGAGAAAAAGCTTGCAAAAGCCAGGGTCGCGGCATCCCAGGCAGCTCTCCAGTCCTGAGAAAGGAAAAGAAGGAGAAAAAAAAGGGAAAGAAGGATAAAAAGCAAATGGAGAAGGATGAAAAGAAAAGCGAACAAGAGAGAGCAGAGAAAAAGGACAAGGAGGTGGATGAAAAATTGAAGGGGGCAAATGAGAAGGCAGCAGATGAGAAGAAGGACAACAAGCCTTCGGACGGGCCCAAGGGCCCGTCCAAAAAGTGCCCCATTTGCTGGAGGTGGATACAGGAGCATGCGGCCGCCCGTCGCCAGCACCGATTGTCGGTGTTTCACCGAACTTGGAAATACATAGCCCAAGGGCTCAGCAAGGAGGCTGCTGCAGGCCGGGCAAAGCGCCGGTTCCAGGAGCACTGGCAGCCCGGGAGGGAAGAGGAGAGCGAAGAGGAATCCGAAGTCCCAAAGTGGGAGCTGCGGCGGGATTCCGGCAACAAGGGCCATGGATATGGCGACAAGGGCCAGGGATATGGCTATGGTGATGTGAGAGGCGGCTCCGGCCCCTCGAGGGCCAAGGCCCATGCCGAAGCTGAGAAGGGCCGTCCTGAGCAGGCTAAGGGCACGAAGAAGAGAAAAAAGCCGGGGGCAGGGGAGACAATCTCCCTGATTGAGCCGAGGATGACAAAGAGGATCGAAAGCCGGTGAAGCTTTTGCCCAGGAGTTTGCCAGCTAAGGCTGGCAAGACCGGCCAGGACACCAAGAAGAAGGGCAGCAAGGCTAAGGGCAGCAAGGCTAAGGCCAAGCGAAAGCGACAGGAGTCGCCGGTACGGGACGGTGATCACGTCCCAATGCCGGACAAGAAGGACCCGGAAGATCCGGAAGGAGGCGGCCCTGAGAGCTACGGCAAAGTCGTGACGAGCTTGTTTCAGATAGCTTGTCACGAGCTGAGGCAGCGGTACTAGCTCGGCACAGCCGCCTGCCGTCTTCCAAAAAAACAGAGTGCCGGCTGCCGTCTGGTGAAAAAAAAGAGTGTCTCCGCGCTTTTTTCTCTTCTAGGGTTTAGGGTTTAGGGTTTTTTTTTAAGAATAATTTTCTGTTAACCTTAAGATTGGAACCTTATCCAAACGTAGAAAATATGATATAGTTTTTTCTATATCATATATATTGAAAGGAAACCATATGATATAGTATATTCTATATCATATGATGGTTTCGCTGGCCATATGATATAGTTTCTACTATATCATCTAAGTCTGTGGGGCCAGATGTTATATGATATAGTTTTTTCTATATCATATGCAATATTTTGGCCTCATATGATATAGTTTTTACTATATCATATGATTGACTTTGTTTTCATACGATATAGTTTTTTCCATATCATATTTTGGGGGTTTCGTGGCCCTGCCGAAATGTGTTCTCTGAGCAGCGGAAAGCCGGGCCCAAGCAGCCGTGCAGCATGCATACAGATGCCCAGAGTCGAGCACAGACAAGGTTTGGTGCAGTTGTGTTCGCAGACAGGCACCCCTTCCTGGGGCCATTTGTTGTGTCACCCGTCCTGTTGCTTGGTTTGTTGTTGCCATGGAGACCCAGCATCCAAGGATGCGAGAAGCCTCCACGGAGGCGTGTGGAAGCCTCCACGGAGGCGTGTGGGAGCCTCCACGGAGGCGTGTGGAAGCCTCCACGGAGGCGTGTATGTGGCTGCTTGCTGCTGCAGGCACAGGGAGAAGAAGGAACTCTCCACGGAGATGTTCCGGCATTTGCTGTTGGTGCGGTGCCGTGGTGAGTATATAGGGCCATGGCCTCCAGCAGCACCGATGCTTTTGCTGAAAGACCAGCGAAGCTTCAGAAGGTGAATGCTCTGAGAAGGAAATTGCCCCATCTCACAGCCTCGGCTTTGTCCGAAGTTTGCAAAGTTCTCCGGGAGGAGGGTGTCCCGGAACTCACACAAAGAAAACATATAGCCGAGGCTGCCTGGCAACCCCTGAAAGAGAATAGGATCCTCAATCGTCTGTCACTTTTGCAGACAGATGGTGCAGAGCTGCAGATACCCAGTGTCGATTTTTGGGCTCTGCTCCAAGCTGCTATCTCGGATGCCGAGAGCAACTTTGCCCGATATTTTTGGGCGTGCATCGACAAGAATCCCCCGAGCCCCAGCAAGGCATGGCGGCTGATCCTGTATACGGACGAGATCGTCCCGGGTAATCCATTAGCAGTCCAGACGAAGAGAAAAATCTGGGCTTGCTATGCCTCGTTCGTAGAACTTGGAAGCTATGCATTGCAGCACGAGGAGTCGTGGCTTTGCATAGGATTGCTCCGATCGAGCCTGATGGCCAAGGCCGAAGCAGGTGTTTCTCAATGGATCTCGAAAATCCTGCGAGACATATTCATGCGACCGGCCAACCATTTGGAGCACGGGTGCATATCGTTGCAGCGACCAGGAGGTCCGCCCGTCCTTTTCCGGGTGGTTTTATCAATGATCGTTCAAGACGGTGGTGCCCATAAAGCTCTATGGAGCTGCAAGGGGGATGCTGGGACCCGCATGTGCATGCTATGCAGGAATGTAATTGCACAGCGATGTGATACCCTGCACAGCAGTGGGCTCCCCGTGGTCGGTTCCTCTGAGATCCGAGAAAGTAAGCTTTCGCTTGCGACCGACCAATCCATCCAGGAGGCCATGGCTAAACTGGCAGAGAAGAAGATGCTTCTGAATGCTGCAGATTTCAGCACGTGGCAGCAAGCCACCGGCTGGACTTATAATAGTTCTTCCCTGCTGCAACAAGAGGATCAACGATGGCTGGTCCGGCCGGTCTCACAGTATTGCCACGACAGCATGCACACCCTGCTGCTCTCCGGTGTCTTCCAGACAGTGACCTGGCTTCTTTTGGAAGCTTTGCAGAAGCAGTTTCCCAATGTCTGGGAAATCGCCGACGAGTACGTGGCCAAGTGGACCCTGCCCCGGAACATCTCCGCCAAGGCCGAAGGGATGCTGGGTCACTCCCGAGCAAAAGCATGCAAGGAAGCCGAGACCTTCAAATGCACGGCCTCCGAAGGCTTGACACTGTCTCCAATATTGGCTTGTTTCTTCAGGCAGCTCGCCAGGGCAAATGCAAATGTTGAGGCAGTGCAAGCGATCCAATGTTTCTTGCAGCTGGACAAACTCGTGGCACGCTGCCAGAGAGCTCGCACTGAGGGAGCGGTTTCGCCCGGCCAGATGAGAAAGCACGTTTCCGATTTCTTGCAAGCCGTGCATGCTGCTGAGTGGCAGGACCGCATGCATTCCAAGTTCCATTGGCTTCTCCACTTCGGTTCGCACCTGGAAAAGTGGGGTTTCATGGTTCAGTGCTACACTCACGAAAGAAAGCATCGCACTATCAAGAGATTCGCCGAGGACATCAAGAAGACTTCTGCTTACGAGCAGGGTCTTCTCCGAGAAGTTCTTGGACAAGAACTATATTGCTTGGCAAGAGCTGATTGTTTCGCAGCGATGCTGCAGTTGCAGGACCCGAAGCCAGCTTCTCGGAGGAAGGCGGCAGCACTTCGCACAATCATTCCGGAGCTGACCTCGGCACAAGTGCTTAATGTGGCAGAAAAAGTCAGGCTGCCCTCCGGGGAACGGATATGTCGTGGCGATGCGGTGCTGCTTGAAGGGAACGGTTGCTTGGAGTGTGCCCTTGTCTGGGCATTCGTGGAACTGGCAGGGCAAGCCTACAGTGTTGTGCATTCCATTTCTTCTCTGCTTTGCGATGACCTCGTGGGGGAGTGCTCCTGCATAGACAGCCTGCATCTGCTGCCATGCAGAGACTTTCTGTGTGCATGCACATGGAGAGACATGGCCGGAGGCCGACGACAAATCATCCTGCCTGCTTCCCTCCGATGAAAAAGATTGATCCTGCATGCATCCTGGATTTTGGGAATCTGCACGTACACACACATGCAGGCGACATGTACCATGCTCTTTTTCCATGGATGTGCATGCAGCTGCCATTTTGGCTCCTGTAGTGGGGTTGTAGCATCTTGGCTCCTATAGAGGGGGCTTCTGGATTCTCCTTTTCTGGCCACGGCTATATATATCTCGCCACGGCGAGATGGCCCGAGAGTTGCAGGCCGAGTTAGGCCCTATGGCCGAGTGGGCACAAAGTGGGAGCAAGGCTTCGGTCGATGCTTTGATGAACAGCTGGTGCACCCGGCTGGAGAGCCTTGGCTCTTTGTCGTTAGGGCAAGCCATGCATATGAAGCAGACGATCCAGGATCTGAGCTTCGAGAGCACCCTGTCAGAACGGTTGCTTGAAAAAGTTGAAGCCAAAGTTCTGGCAACGGCCACGGCTGCAACACCGCCGCCAGATACTACATATACGCCGAACAAGCGAAAGGAGGAAAGCAAGCCGCAGACCTTGCTGAAGCCGGAGAACTTCATCACGGTCACTGAGTGGTCTATGCTGGAAAAGTCGCCAGCACCGGCAAGGCTGGAAATCCTTCTGAAGAGGTATCTGCAGCTGGGCCTGAGGAACCTCACAGAACAGACGGTCAAGAAAGGCCTGGCCTTCCTCTTGGCACTGGCAGCCGGCGAGCTCAGTCAGATGCCGACATATGAAGAGATCTACGAAGAGGTCCAAGTCTTCAAGAGATCTTGGGAATCCGTGAAAACGGATGCAGAGCCGACTGAGGTCGGCCTGCTCACGTATCCCGATGACCCCAGCAGCTTGCCGAAGGCTCTGTTCGACCGAGCCTACAAGGCTGAGGACCCGCCCATGGGCAAAGACGTGAGGGCTGGGATCTGGCTAGCTCACATTCCGATGCGATCTACTTCCAAGCTCTTGCAGAAGAACAAGAAGCAGAGGCTGCCGAGGCCAGATGGCCAGGCCGCCGTGTCTGAGCAGCATGCGAACGAGTTCCAGAGCCGCATGGAGCAGTGCTTCGGGCGACTGGAAAGACTGCTGGACCAGGGCTGCGGTCAGAATGCCATCCAGGATGGTGGGCGAAGGGAGCTGCAGCTTGCTGCAGGCGCCAATATCTTGCAAAGGAGGACTGCATGCTTCTTTTATCTTTTCCTTTGTTTTGCGTCTGTATACACAGCCCATGCATGCTTTTCCATTTGTATACCTGCTGCAGGACCCCTGGACGGAACTCCATCACAGGAGGCGAGCTGAGCAGCAGCAGTGCCGGGGTCGGCTTTGCTCTGGGCAACCCAGCCCAGGCGGTTTCGGCTGCGACACAGCAGACCTCGCCAGGGCGACAGTCGGCCTTGCAGCTAGCCCTGCCTCCAGCCGAAGAACCCGAAGCAACGGAGTCGCTCCCTGCCGAGAACGATCTCGAGGACGAAGATTTGTTCCGAAAGCTCAAAGATCGCAAAGCTGGGATTCTGAAGAAGCCGGCTGCTGCAGCTGCAGCGAGTGGCCAAGGAAACTTGGCCAAGAACAAGACAAAAACGAATGGCCAAGGCCAAGATCCAAAGAAGAAGGGCAAGGGCAAAGGCAAAGGAAAGTCCAAGGACAAGAGTGCTTCGAAGAAAGGCCAAGGCAAAGCAAAGGAGCAGCAAGCCCAAGGCTCGCATGGAAAGCGAAAGTTCCAAATTGTCTGGGAGGACGGCTGCATCCAGAAGAACTATGCTTCTCGCATGTACAAGCGAGCCGGAACGTGGGCAAAGCAGCAAGGCTTCTCGGAGCAGCAAGTGGTAGAGTGCCAGCGAGAGGCCCACAGAGAGGCCATTCTGCTGTGGAAGAAGAAGAACGGCTGCTAAGCCAGCTGTGCAGGGCTCGAAAGCGATGCCAACCAACTTTTTGTTTCTATGTGTGTATGCACACATGAGCACTGCACCGAAAATCGGTTAGCATGCTGCACAGATAGATCATTATATACCATGCAGCAAAGTAGCTGCTGACACACGAGTGCATCGCAAGGAAACAGATGCATGCGAAGTGGGTCATCGGGCATGTATGGGGGTCGTCAAGCATGCTGTCTC